TAGCCAAAAGAAAAATAAGATTCGTAGGGCATGTTGTGAAAGGGTCCGGAGGAGGACTCAGCCAGCTGGTCCTTGAGGGGTGAGTGGATGGAAAACGCAGTAGAGCCAGACAGAGAAGGACTTGGGGAAGTGATATTTTGGATTGGAGTGAAAGCAAACATCTTGGTGAAGCAAAGAGGAAAGCAGAGGACAGATGTAGTTGGAGGCAGCTGGTTGCCAACCTCCGGACGGGAGATGGTACTCAATGATGATGATGATTACTATATTTAATGCAATGTTCATCTTAGGTATTATTATCATTATCAATACTATTATTATCATTATCATTATCATTATTGTTATCATTACTATCATCATTATTATCGTGATTGATATTGTTGTTGTTATTATTATTTCATTATTATTATTATTATTACAGTTATTGTTATCATTATCATTATGAATGCTATTTTTATCATTATTATCATCACTATTATCATTTTCATTATTATCATAATCATTATTTTTTCTTCTTCTTTTACTTCTTTTTCTCTTTTTCTCCTTCTTCTTCCTCCTCTCCTTTTTCTTCTTCTTCTTCCTCTTCTTTTCCTTCCTCTTCTCTTTCTATTTTTTTTCTTTTTCTTCTTCTTCTTCTCCTTCGTCTTCTTCTTTTTCTTCTTGTTTTTCTCCTTCTTCTTTTTCTTCTTTTCTCCTTCTTCTTCTTCTTCTTCGTTTTCTTCTTCTTTTTATTTTATCATCTTCTAATTATGATTATCATTATGATTATCATTATTATTATCATTATCTCCTCTTCTTTTTCTTTTCTTCTATTCTTCATCCGTTTTTTTCTTCTTCTCTCCTTCTTCTCCATTTCCTTATCATTATCATTTCTTCTTCTTCTTCTTCTTCTTCTTCTTCTTCTTCTTCTTCCCATTTTCATTTTCATTTTATTTCACCTCCTTCTTCTGTGCATGTATGTGTGCATGCGCCTGTGACATTTGTTTACATGTACACAAAAAAATAGCCATTATATCTGTACATACACCGCCACCCTTTACGTACACACATACGCACACAGACCAAACAGACACAGGGAGGAGGAAAAACACACATAACGTACATATAACATAATTTATATAAAGTGAATAGTACTGAAACAAACAAATAAATAAAACAAACCTACAACAATAAAAAAAAAACATTTCAAAATACAACAACAACGAAGAGCATAAATGCAGAGAGAGAGAAAAAACAAAACAAAAAACAAAAGCGCAACAGCTGATGCAGCCAGCCTATCAAACCTACCCGACGAATGGAGGGGAAAAACCACAGCTGATGTCTCACTCCCTTGCCTGATCACAACTGGTGTCGATTTCCCTTGCTGTCTGACTTATGGTGCATCTCTCTGCTCACGCGCAAGAGGAAAATAGTTGTATCTGAGATGATTGGGAAATATTTCCATTCCCCTTTTTTTTTTCATTATTACGCACGCTCTGACGCACAGGTGTCTTATGTGTGTGTGGGGTGGGGTGGGGGTGGGGGGTGCGTGGGTGTTTATATAGACAGAATAAAAGAGAAATGATAGCACGCAATCATATATATCTACATGTGTATGTGTATGTATATATATATATATATATATATATATATATATATATATATATATATCTGTATCTGTATTTACTTATCTATCCGTCTATCCGTCTCTCTATCTAGCCATATACCTATGATATATATATATATATATATATATATATATATATATATATATATATATATATATATATATATATATATTCAATATATGTGTGTGTATGAAATTATATAATATACAATATATATACATACATATATATACACATACATATATACATAAGTAAACATAAACTAAAACACTGATAGCTTTGGATGCGTGTATATGAACACACATAGCAGGAATCGTTAGAGCTTCCTTTCTCGATGACGTCATAGTTGGCTGAGCACGTTCCACTTCCAAGCTGAAGAAATGGGAAGGGAAGGAAACAGGATCAGATACTATTGTATTTATATTTCAATTGTATTTAAAGTATCTGTGTTTGCTTTTTGTTGTCCAGAAGAGAAAGTATTTTGTTTTCTTTTTTTGTATTTGTATTTCGATTATTGATTGTGAAACGCAATTTTGCATTTGCATTTTTTTTTTTTTTTAATATGAATAAAAATATTTACATTTTTATTAGTATATTTAATCATAAAGTGAAAAGTACTCGTATTTGTTCAATTTGCTGATTGCATACGTTCGTGTTTTGTAAGGAGAAGAATGTGTGTGCGTGTATGTATATACATATACATACGCATATATATATATATATATATATATATATATATATATATATATATATATATATATATATATATATATATACATGTATGAATGTATGAGTGTATGTGTATATATATATATATATATATATATATATATATATATATATATATATATATATATATATATATATATATATTTATGTATATATATATACATACA